TAAATCTGTTTATCATATAAAGTAATCATGTCTCTTCAGAAGACTTGAATTAAACCACTCAATTCAGATGGAATACTTTTACAATGTCTTTATCAACTTTTTGAAGCTTGAATATTTTGGTTGCGCAGCTTTGAGGGACAAAATGAAGCAAGACTATTAAAGGGGTCATATGATGTTGCTAAAAAGAACATTATTTTGTGAATTTGGTGTAATGAAATGTGTTTATGCAGTTTAAGGTTAAAAAAACACATTATTTTCCACATACTGTATATTATTGTTTCTCCTTTATGCCCCGCCTTCTGAAACTCGTCGATTTTTAGAGAAAGGAAAAATTGAATTCGCATCATATGACCCCTTTAAAAAATATCTTCATTTGTGTTCCAAAGACAAATGAAAATCATGTGGGTTTGGAACAACATGAGGGTAAGTAATTGATGACAGAAGTCTCATTTTTGGGGGGTGAAGTTACCTTTTAAACATACCCCAGATTGTAGGGTATGCGTCAATAGTCAAAACTAGTCAGCATTCTTGAATATGGTCTGCAGGGCGAGGAAAATAGCCTTTTTGTGAGGTATCCCTTCCTGTGCAAAAGGTCAGAGAGCAAATGCAGGGGAAACCACCTGCTTTTGTCACACAGCTGGAAGAGGGAGAAGAGAGGGAAAGCTTTCCACCATAACCATCTCTCTATTTCAAAGGAAGTTTGAGTCAGAACAAACCAACAATTCTTCATCTTGAAACTTAAGATAGTGAGCTGTGCCATAGCCTACCTTACACTATCTTACAAATAACTGATGTTAAATTGTAGACAGCGATACCGTGTTCACGGGCTAATTAGGAAGAACTTCAATACAAGAAGTGTTTACAGGTGTTAAATACGTGTGAAAGGCCCCGTGTCCCATGTGGCAATTATAGACAAATAGAAGCACATGCCCTCTCAGATTTTAGAGTCAAGTATATTTTGAATCCAACCTTGAAAAATATAAAAACAATTGTCTCTGATAATTAGGTTTCACAATTAAGTAAAGCATGATTGTTTTTAAATAGTGTGTAAAACACACAGAAATCACATTTACATGTCTAAATATGGCGTGCCTTAATGTTCAGTCACACTTACTGTTGTTCTGCAAATATTCATTTCAGTACGAATCAGCAGATATCCAGGATCAGGAATATTGTGCAAAAAATTGAATTTTTGACATTCCTATATGAATAACCGCTTTGACTATCTTACAAAATGTACAGAAACTCAGATTCAGTATACAACTCAATTGCTAGCCAGAATATTTAATGAATTAATTAAAATAAAATTATAAGATACTGTGAGGGAGAATGATTTGCACTGGTTTCACGCAAATTCACCTCGCTGACCTCAAGAAATTTGCTGGATTTGAAAGTGACTTTTGTGTGAGCTGTGCTTCATATATTGCTACACTACTGAAAACAATGAACCCTTTGGCCTGCAAAATTTTGCTCCCGTGGCTTTACACAGATCATTTTCATTAAAAACTCTGTTAACGATCATAAATGATCAAAATATTATCAAATGCTCTTTTCCATATAACAAAATGGTTATTACTGGGTTTTTTAATTAATTTTCAATTCTGTACCGCTAATTTCAATGGCCACTGAGCTTTTCAAACTGTTTTGGGTTTGAAAGCGTTAAGGAATGGCCGATCAAATCCTATATTGTTTCATTATGACAATCTTTAAATGAATCAAGGGTTCTGTTTATCAACCAAAGTTTAAATTAACACCTTCTAATGGTGCAAAAATGTCCCCAATGCCGTGAAGCACAGGTCGTCATATCCAAAAATATACATTAAATTAAGGTGAAATGTTTAAAGCAAGACTTATTTTATGGCATCATAAGTGTATGAATATGCAGTGCAGAGGGCAAAGAGAAACATTTTTAGTAACCACCCTATAGTTAAACGTGATATTTACAGTATCGAGCTCTGTTATTCAAGCTTCCTCTCTCACCCGTCACACAATCCTGCCATGTCACTAGTCCTCTAATGACCTGCTCCACTCAGTGTTCTTAATACAATCTTGCAACATCCTAACAAAGAGGAAGAGGCTGCAACGAGTTGAAAAAGAGGTAACCCACACCACTATACTTGGCCTCAGGGAGAGATATACCTCTTTAGCCAACTTCCTTTATCCGCTACTGAAGCACCTGAAATTAATTTAGCTCGCTAACAGCCTGCATGCTGCAGGGGAGCCATTTTAATAAGTAGTAATAATGCCAACAGACAAAACGAGTTGCTTTCAAAGACCAGTAGGACAATCATGCTTATCAATATCGCACAAGAAATGTAATGAGATGGACAGTCTGGGGTAACTAATTAAAGTAATTTTGCATGTTTAATAGAAAAATATTATTCTTATGCCATAAACTGCATTGCAGATGAACGTAAAAATGAGAGCTTTGCATGTAAATGTAGCTGTTACATTCAATTAAATTTCATTCACAATACATATTATTTCAAAGCATGTATAGAAAATACTTGTTTCAATGTTACAATTAGGATATATGTTGCTCCAAAGTGTGGATGAAATTGAATTAAATACATGTGGATTACATTGAGTAATTTGTAAAGCAACGCTACAGTGTGAATGAAAGGGTTCAAGTATCAAATGGAAACAGATATGTCAATGGAACCAGTCTCCTTTCGTTCGCAGATGTTTGTCACTGTCAGGTTCAGTTGATACCGTGCCCATCAAAACACGATGTCTGTTAGGTGACCTTTAGGTTGCTACCAAGTGTGAGGTCATGCTGCTGTTGCCATGACTACTATCAGCAGATTGTCTGCTTGCACGCATTACCTCAGCTGCCTGGCATCGGCGGGGTTACAGAACAGACCGTGACCTCGCCATGGAGACTAAACTAATCTTAAACAATAACAAGCAGCGCACACACATGCAGGGGGAGATTTTGCGAGATTACCATAAATAGTGTTTCCTAATATCACACATCCAATATATACCTCAAGATATAAGGGAATGAGATCTGTATGCACAAAGAATTCAATAAGGAAAACATAATACTGGACTCCTATGAATAGAATTGATTATTTTTTTTACTATGGTACACATGTAAACGCTATGACCAATGTCCAAAAGTGTACAGTTCAACAGCCTCTCTGTGGACTTGAAGGGGTGACAATGAGAGAGAGAGAGGAATGGCGAGGCAGCCATATTCTAATGAGCGAGCTACAAAGTGTGTGTCAGTCACCTGTGCAGAGGCGAAGTGGGCTAATTTGAGCCTGTGCTAATTGCCACGTAACGAGCTGCACGTGTGGATGGTTGCGAGGAGGATGGCAGCATGGCATGAGGGAGGATACAGTCCTCCTAACACCAAAGAGGTGTGAAAGAACGAACTTGTCCAACAACATGCTGCCTGCTGGAGTCCAGCCCTGAGTGGGGAACAGCCGGCTGCTTCAGTGCTATGCATAGAACAGAATATTGTGTGTGTGTGTGTGTGTGTGTGTGCTTTTGTGTGGGGGGTGGAGGGGGATCTGTTAATCAAATTATGATTTAAAGTCACATTATGGTTGTTACCATACAATAAATTTTAATTTAAAAAAATGAAGCTTTTATTTTTATTTGATAGAAAAAAAGACATTCCTGTATGAATAATCTGTATGAATATAAGGTCCCATTAGTTCAAATGAATTAATGCATTATCTAACATTAAATAACAATGGGCAATACATTAGTTACCGTGTTTATTAATCTTTTTTAATGTTAATAATAATACAACAACTGTTAGTTCTGTTAGTTCATGTTAGCTAATAATAATATTAACAGATAGAGCTGTGTATTAGTAAATGCTGAAATTAACATTCATAATAACTTCCATTGTTATTTCTTGTTAACTAATGTAGTTGACTAATGTTAATAAATGAAGCATTATTGTAAAGTGTTACGGAATAACATATGTGTATATTACAATATCAATTGTATGGAAACTCAGAATCAGTATAATTCAATTGCTAGCCAGGACATTTAACATTAATAAATAAAATTATAGTAGTAGTAGTAATAATAATAATAAAAAATAATAAGATCTTAAAATGAGATAATATGCTAATTGTAAATTCCGTAACACTTTAGAATAAGGTCCAATTAGTTAATGTTAGTTAATTCATTAAATAACAATGAGCAATACATTTGTTACAGTATTTATTAATCATTAATTAATGTTAGTTAATAAAAAAATACAACTCTTAATTGTTAGTTCATGGTAGCTCAGGCTGATTAAATAATATTAACAGGTACAACTTTTGATTTTAATAATCATATTAGTAAATACTGAAACTAATAAAAGGCTAACTAATATTGATAAATGCTTTCAAAGTATATTTCACTGTTAGTTCATGTTAACCGATACTAATGTTTACAAACAGACCATATTGTAAAGTGTTACTGTAAATTCTATTTTAAATTTGTAGCATTACATCAATTAAAAGGAATTGTACTGATCTGATTCAACCAAACATTTATAAAAAAACACTTAAATATATAAATAAATAAATTTTAAATATGGTTATTAATTTTAAATCCCATTTTACATTTATATCATTAGGCTACATCGACCTTAAAATTAATTGCAGCGATTTAGGGGTTTCTGTCAACTCAGATTCAAACATTTCTAAAAATAATTTATGAAAAAAAAATGTCATTTTCGATTTTTTTCATTAATTTTAAACCTATTGTCCTTTTATATCATTACATTAATAAAAAAAAAATAATAAAAAAACGTTTTTTTTTTTTTCCCAAGCCGTTATTAGTCAGAATCCATTTTCTATATAAATATTTAAAAAATCCTACGTGGTCAGTCAAGTATACACCCTGAAAGCTTGGGGGCACCTTGTCCCTTTCTCGTTGCTCTGTCGGGCGAGCTCCTCTCTCTGTGAGCGAGAGAGTGAGTGAGTGAGTGAGTGAGCGAGCGAGTGTGTGTGTGTGCGTGCGTGTGCGCGCGAGTGTGTGTGTGTGTGTGTGTGTGTGCTCTGCTGTTGCTGCCCTTTGATCCCTGCATTAGTGTTAGTTAGGGGCTCGGAGACACACACTTACAGAGAGCAGCCATAGTCAAGACACGGCAACAACAACAGCACCTCCTCCTCTACTCTTCCCCGTTCCCAACAATACACTTAACCGAGGACAGCCAGGTGCACGACAAGTCCCTGCCATCAGGCTCCCTCGCAAAATTTCAATGGGAAAAGACCTTTTTTCTTCTTATCCCTAAACAAGAAGGAGAATGTGATAAAAGGGGGAAAATGCCAAGGAGGAAACAGGAGCAACCCAAGCGCCTGCCTTCACGTAAGTCGTTTTCTCGTTCGGCGCGATTTTAGCGCGTCTCCGTGTGTTTTGCGCAGTAGTTTAGGGTTAAAGAGGTGAAACAGACAAAGGCACGGCGGAGGTTATTTCTCCTTTTTTAGGTCTGTGCTAGGCAGCCATGTTGGCGATGAAGGGGCTAGCGGAGCGAGCGCACTAGCGGTGCCTTTAATTGCAGATAATCGATAAAGGTCCCGTTCCGCCTAAAGGTTGCGGCCAGTAAAGCTCGCGTTATCGCCGCTTATTTGGCGCTAATGGCCGCGCGTCTTTTCTTTATATGTGTCCGTGCGAGCGAGGCAGAGACGCGCGGAAGGGAAAGGGGAGGATCTGAGGATCTGGCCGCAATAAAATGAAGGGTCAGTCGGATCAGACTGAGAGCCAGACTCAGCCTTCTATCCGTGCCCCTGCCTTTAACGTTACTTAGCTCCAGCGCTATCTAGCAGCAGTCCGCAACTTCAAAATGCGTCCTAAAAGACGTTTGTACAACTTCGTGTCGTGTGTGTGTGCGCGCGCGACTTTTTTCTTTCGTTTGTCGAGCGGGATTTTTTTAAACTGAGGTATTTTCTTCCACCCCTCCCAGTTCAGTGAGGTTCGTGTCTGCAGGCTGCCTGTGTCAAAGCCATGGTCGGTCACCTGAAGTTCAGGGTTTTTTTCCTTCCTCATGCAGCCATTCATTGCAGACAGTCTGCGATCAATAACGCACGAAAGGCGAAACGCGTTTTTCTCTCGCTTCGAAGCTCGTGCGACGGAAATCTCACGGTTTGCGCTGCTTTGCACGGGTTGCGTTTGGGATTACTAATCGCGAAATTTGTTCATTTGACCCTGTGTAGCTGGATGTTAACATTGTGCTTTTATCAGCTCGCTAATAACGGCTGTAGTTGCGTGAGCCGGCCGCTAGAGGGGACATGATGTGTAGAGTGTGGAAAACATCGATCAGAGGAATTGGCGAAATGTGGCACGGTGGCGCTTTAAGTGCACGAGAGCAAGCGCTCATAATGCATCTTTGTGCGTGTTGCCATTCAAAAGCGAAACGGCGCCTTTTGGGACTTTTTTTTTTTTTTAAAGTCTGAGACACTGTCTTTTGCTGCTCTCTGGAATTTTCTGCTTGTATTCTAGCAGCATTGCATTGTGCTGATTTTTCTTCATAATGCCAAACGTTTGTTTACATCCATTGAACTTGTCACAGTCATTTCTACTCGCTTTTAACTCTTCATCAGTAGGTAATGCAGTTCAAAGTTGTCACTTTAGAACCACTTTGATTTGATTTTAAAATAAAGAAACTTTTTGGTGGGTTTAGTGAATTGCTTTACAGTGTAACGACATGTAGAAGGCAGTTATGTGGAATTATTGAGTTTTATGAAATCGTTTAGATGTTAAAATTCAACAGTGAGGAAAACTTATTTTTTAATAGAAATGCAGGATATAAACCACTATATTATAATGATAAAGTGTTGTAACAAAACTTATTCATCAAACTTAACTTATTAAATAAACATATAACGTTATTTAGTAACAGAAACTCAGGGTATGGTACATAAACCTTAATATTATAATAAGTGTGTTATAACTAAATGATAATTTTCTTTTCATAACTTTAATAACTTTCTTTCAGTCATGGCTGTTTAGAAACTAGACATAATATCTACTGCCATTTGTCCCACCTCTCAAAATCACCCACTCAGCAAAAGCTCGTCTGAAGTTTGGTGGCGCTCCACGCAGCCCTCTCATGCAGCCGTGGAGGAGTGATGTCACGTTTCATTACGTTCTGTTTGTGTTCATTTCGCTTTAACACCTGTGAGCAGAGAGGCAGACGACAAGCACAATTGTTGATCTAAATTTAGCTCATCTGCTCTTGATTACTATATACTGCCTTGAAAAGTTACAAATATGAGTTCAGGACAGTGGAACTTGTGTGCTGCAACTGTTTGTGTGCTCTTAATGTGCCAGGCATCTGCCGTTTTTCTTTTCGGCGAACGTTTCCGTGTAAGGGCTGTGGCATATCCTTTTGCAAGTGTATCTTTCACTTCCTTTTCTCAAGAATACATATCTGAGTTCAGGAGTGCTTGCGTCACGATGCACATGGGTCAAGACCTGCAAGAGGGCCTTGATACAGTCTGATGATCTTCTTGACAGTTAAATATGACCTTTGGCTTTAGTGCTAACCACTGGTATTACAAAACCACGGCCTGTATAACACTGTTGCACACTCCTTTTTCCAGAATGCATATTTTGTTCAAACTGCAGGTCACAGTTCAGCAAACTTCCAGTAAACTAATCGCGAAAAGGGAGCCTAGGTTAAAATGTTCCTGTCTTGTTAAGCTGGTTTCCTCAGATTTCCACTCTGAGGTGTAGAGGTCGACTGAGGTTACCTCTTTTTCTCCTTTTCTGCTGGTTCTTTGTCTTACTCGCAAGCCTCCATTTTGTGCAAGTACATAGCCCGTATCATTCTTTCACCCTGACCTTTGCCATCAGCTAAAATGTCTCCCTATGGGAGCCGGCCATTTCCATTATACACACAGGATCTTTAAGGTTATCTGCATTCGCAAATGGAGGAATTGGAGCATTGCACGGATTTCAGCTCTCCATTACAGACTGACGGCAGAGTGTGTGCGACTGGGTGGCTCTCCACCTTACCGTAATGGTGGGTCACTGGCTCCTTTCCACTCATCTATGATTATAATGACCTTGGCTGGGCTTGGGCTTGAAAACATTGGATTAAGGGGAAAGGAAAATGAGGGGAGGTTTCCATTTCGCTCTTGGCATCTGATTTGTAGGGAAAATCTGCCAAGAATACCCCCTCCTCCTCTTCCTCCTCCTCCTCTTTCTTCCCCCTGCCCCACCAACTTGATCAGGCTCTCTCACCGGTGTCTGCCCATTTGAGCTCAAGCGAATAATGATACACAGGCTTTCCTCTCAGAAATGAATTAAAGGGCAGGGGAAGGGTGGTGGATGCTCTCCTGAACAAGTGCTTACACAGAAAGGGGCTTCAGCCAGGCATACTGAACCAGAACATTTAGATTAATTTGGCTAGCTGGATCGCCTGGCTTTCATCACAGGTGTAGTCTAGCTGTGAGTGCTCAGTCAAAGGCACTGTGTGGTGACATAATTAAGACAATTTTTGTACGGCTCGATGATTGTAACAGACTAGGCTCGTCATGTGTAAGAAGGTTCATCTTTAAAATGACAAACCACGAAGTAGCCTATGAAAGCACTGAATCAGTCTTGAAGCCAAGCTCAGGGCTCAGCAGTAAGGTTGGGAAGGACCGCTTGCTCTATTGATTCTGCACTATATCTTATATGTTTTGATCATGCATTTGCATTTTTACACATTTGCTTTTCTGTACCATTTGGTTGCTAACTTTGCTTGTCAACTTTTTAAACTTGACTTTTAAAGCTAAAATTATCTAGCTGGCTTAATACAGATGAGGTTTTGACAACTTTCTAAGAATGATTTGGATCGTCTTGGTAGTGTCAGTGTAAATGGATTTAAAATTACAAGCCACTCAGAAATGTTTTCATAGTCATCATCGGTGTTTAGGAATTCTTGGTGCTTCTTGGGTGATCATATTCACTGTATAATCTATTATACAGGTCAGCTGTTAATATTTAATATTATCTCCTTCTTTTAAATTCAATTTAAATGTGTAGAAAATGTATAATAATATTTAAAATAATTTTGAAATCAATTTTAAAAATCGTTTTAAACTATAATATTTATTTGACATGCTTTTGTTTTTAAAATTATAAGTGTGAATATACAGGTGCATCTCAATAAATTAGAATGTCGTGGAAAAGTTCATTTATTTCAGTAATTCAACTCAAATTGTGAAACCTGTGTATTAAATAAATTCAATGCACACAGACTGAAGTAGTTTAAGTCTTTGGTTCTTTTAATTGTGATGATTTTGGCTCACATTTAACAAAAACCCACCAACTCACTATCTCAACAAATTAGAATACTCCATAAGACCAATAAAAAAAACATTTTTAGTGAATTGTTGGCCTTCTGGAAAGTATGTTAATTTACTGTACATGTACTCAATACTTGGTAGGAGCTCCTTTTGCTTTAATTACTGCCCCAATTCGGCGTGGCATGGCAGATGACTAGAGCCCATGGGAGAAAAGGGCAGAGCTCTGATTCATGTGCGCTGCTATTATTGCCACTGCCTCTCTGGAGACCGCCAGCCGAGGCTCAAATATGCAGTTTCGCCTTCTTTTAATCTTAAACCCAAATTCACACTCTTGACTCCTAAGACTATGATGGTATACACAGTAGAGTACAGACGATTGAGCTAGCAGGTGTAATTTATTTTGAGGATTTTCAGTTGGGAAAATCTTGCCTCTTTCTTTGGAAGCAACTTTTATTTGGTTGTACAGTATGTGTTTGTTGATGTGTTTTGCCTTGGACTGTGGAATGTGTTATCTTGCCTTCAACGTCTGGAATCTGTCTCCAGGATTTCCTCTGGGAAGTGGCATTTCTTATTTTTTCTTATCCCAGCACACTTCATTGATGTTGACCGATAAGTTCATTCGAAGGTATCAAAGTATATGTCCTTTTTATATGTCACCACCATCCCATGCCATAGCCTTGAACTAATGGATGAGGAACTTTTGTTCTGTTTGCATAAAATTGGAGCCCGTTTTTTTTTTTTAGGAAGTGAATGTCTTGAAATGTGTTTTAATGGTTACTCATTATTGCTAATAGCATACTTCAGTTCCTTTTTTTCCTCCCATGTGGGAGTATACCAGCCATGACTGGCAGGTTTAATATGAAGACAGGCAAGTGCTCTCATATCCTATGTGGAACTAACCTACGGAACATCTGGGTAGGTTTTTCCACCCAGAGGAACAGCCTTTTTGAAACACTTGAATCAGCTGTGAATTCCACTGAAAAAATGATTTGATAGGTGAAAGAATGTGTATTTTTAGTATCTCTGTGACTCCTCATGTACTGTTGTTGTTGTTTTTTTGGCCATGCATACTGA